AGAAAGGACTGCACTCAGCATTGTCCTCCGGGATCCACTCTGGGGACCCTGGGGGGCATCCCCCAGCTTAGGGAGACACAAGAAGTCTTCCTCAAAAAGCTGTTAAGACCCTATTGGCTCCTTCCCCTGTTCCTATGTCTGTTCCTATGTCCCTGAGCCACTCCCTCCCTATCCCCTGACTGGCCCTCATTTTTGTACTGCCTGGAGACCAGGTTCACCCCCTGCCCCTCAGGAGGGAGAAACCTCGAGTCTCCCCACGAGTGTGCCTGGGGACTCGGAACATCTCACCACGCGGCTGAATTAAACATCCGTGGATACCATGCAAAGGCTCTTTTTGCTTCCTTACCCTGGACTTTACTAGCAGCTGTTCAGGCTGCAACAGTCCACCACTAGACTTTGTGCCACTGATCACCAGGGTTCCAAGAAGGTAGGTTCTGTGCAAGGTGTCTTTGCTTGTATGTACATATTCAGAAAAAATAGGCAGGATTTACAACAGGGATTTCTGCTCCATATCTTATGTGGGAAAAAATGGAATGATCCCCGCTCCCTCTCACTGGTGGTGGGTAAAGTTGTCCTGTTGTTGATGGCAGTGGATGTCACCTGCACAGGAACTGTGCCAGACTGGTGTGACATACTCTGGGAAGGAGCACTCTGAGGAAGGTAAAAGCTGGTCCGTAGAGATCATTCAAAGACATTCTTCAAACCACAGAAGCCACTGTTTTATGAAGATCAGGAACAAAATTCCTAGGCAAGGGCTGAAACTCTGCTTCTGTTGTTCCTTTACCTCCCAGATAAATTTTTCCATTAATGATGACAGATCGAATTTGAAACTTGCCCAGTGTATAATTCACTCATCTTTTTATGACCTTTGATAGGAGGGAGGAATTCTTGGTCCTGAAAATACTCAGGAACTGGCAGAGGATGAGAAGGTCAAGGGCTGAGGGTATAATTTAAAATAGCTTATCAAGGTGAAAAAGCAGAATCACAACCCTGGGTTACAGGAGATCAAGTGAACTGGAACCTTCTGATCAACCTCATCTCAGAAAGGAGGAATGTGGAAGAAAAAAATGTGGAAGAATCAAGTTATCCAGGAGGAGTTTACAGACATTCCTGTGGAAGCACTTAATGGAGTTACACAGGAAGCCTGCCCTGCATCATGTGAGCAAGAATGCTGAGAAATGGGGAAGAAAGATGATTAGACACAATCTGAAAACTGGAAAGGCATCCTGTTTGTCAAACCTGTAAACCTGGAGAGAAGAATAACAAGCTGTCAAAACGATGGATTTATTACAGGCCTGCAATTGCTTTTGAGCAAACTGCTGAACACAGTTTCTCACACTAAAATGTATAAATAATGTCTTAACGTTGCAATAAACCAGATTCACTTGCTTCTAGCTTGTGTCTCTCACATTCATATGCCACAGCAGTAGGGAAGGGGGAGAACAGTTAGCGAGCTCTTGAGCCAGGTATACACCAGGTCTAAGGACTGGAGAAAGCCACAGCAGCTAGCCATTGTCTTCAGAAGAGGCTGGCCAGTGAAGGTGGTTCCTGAGAACTTCAGAGAGCATTACACCAGTCTTAAAGATGGGCACAAAGGAGGGTGTGAAGAACTACAAGCTAATCAGCTGCTTTGGAATCCCTGGGAAAGTGATGGAGCAAATCCTCCTGGACACCCTTTCAAGCAACTGAGAGAGAAGGGCATTGGGAATAGCCAGCTGAGATTTACCAGGGGGACATGGTGCCTGGCCAACCTGATTGACTCTGCAAATAAAGGGAGACCAGGGATGGTGTTGCTGGACATTGCAAAACATTCAATAGCCACAGTCTCCTTACAGCCCGACTGGTGAGATACAGACCGAGTGATTGGCCAAGGGAAAACTGCCCAAACCAGCGGGCTCAGTGCTGCTGGATCAGGTGTATGAAGTGACCAGGCTGTGGTGACACCACTCACTCCAGATCATCCCTGGAGCCAGTATTACTGTTGATCAATGACTAATATTTATATACAGAGGATGTCTTCTCTAAGTGAAGAAACTTTACAACAGAGATTTATTCCACCATGATCATATGTATCATAAGGTAGTTCCTAGCTCATACACAAACATTACTTTTCCTAGAACTACTTTACCCACCTCTGCCCCTTGCTGGAAGTCCTTTTATGGTCTTGGAGGGTCTTCTAAAGGGCTCTCTGGTGGTCCTATTCACTGTGAGCCCCCAAATTTGGAAGTGCCCTTGCCTTGAATCTCTTAGGGCAATCACTGTTGTTTCTTGTTACATAACTTTGCCAAAAAACCCACTTAGGTGCCTTACAATCTGTTTTTCCACTGCTTCCAGCTCTATTCAACATCCTGTGTGTCTACTTTTACATTATTTTATCTAATTTGCTAGTTAGTCTTTAAGCTGTATTTTGCAACCAAAACGCTCTATTTTCCATGTTTTCTGTCACAGTGAGTGGCAGCAATGCATCTTCCTGGTGGCTGGAGCTACCCCCATTTCTATGGTCCCTCAGGCTGACAGACATGCCACGCACTGATGTCATGTCCAGCCTCAGCTCAGCTCACATCCCTTGCCCAGACAGGGGAGAAACACAGGCAGGAGAGGCAGAAGCCATGTGCCTAGGCTGCCCCGCCTTGAAGGCACAAAAGCCTCCACCTTCTACTGGTCAAGGGTCAGGGCACCTGACAGTGAGCCTTCAGCACTGAGTGATGGCATCCCACTTCTGCAGCCTTGGCCCAATCAGATGACCTGGTCTCCTCAGGAGCTGCCCTTTGACCTTGTCAGGGACCATCCAATGGACATGATGCCATGGCAGCTTGGCAACCCCTGGATTCATCATCACTATGGTGATGTTTACCTCAGCATAGAATCCCAGACTGGTTTGGGCTGGTGGGACCTCAAAGCTCATCCATTTCCACCCCCTGCCCTGGGCAGGGACACCTGCCACCAGACCAGCTTGCTCCAAGCCCCCTCCAACCTGGCCTCAGACACTTGCAGGGATGGGGCAGCCACAGCTGCTCTGGGCAACCTGTGCCAGGGTCTTACCATCCCCAGAGGAAAGAGTTTTTTCTAACCCTACCCTCTGCCAATGGAAATCCATTTCCCTTGTCCTGGCATTCCAGGCCCTTGTCCAAGGTCACCCCTCAGCTCTCTTAGAGCCCCTTTAGGCATTGGAAATGTCTCTAAGGTCTCCCTGAAGCCTTTTCTTCTCCAGGCTGAACACCCCCAGCTCTCCCAGCCTGGCTCAGAGCAGAGGGGCTCCAGCCCTTGAAGCATCTCTTTGGCCTCTCTGGACTCACTCCAGCAGATCCACATCCTTCTGATTCTGGACCCGAGGGCTGGAGGCAGCTCTGCAGGTGGGGTCTCAACTGAGCAGGGCAGAGGGGCAGAATCCCTTTTGTCCCCTGCTGCCCACAATGTGGGGTCAGCCCAGGACAGGGGTTTTGTGGGTGACAGCACAAGAGGCCAAGGCACACTGAGATTTTTGTCTGCCAACATGTCCAAGTTCTTCTCCTCAGGGCTGCTCTCAACCCCTGCTCTGCCCAGCCCGAGTCTGTGCTTGGGATTGCCCTGACCCAAGGGCAGGCCACGTACTTGGCCTCATACCAGCAGAGTCACACTGGGACTTTGGTGATGGTCTCTGGGCCTATGGCAATGACTCCAGCTCGTTTAAATTTGAGGTCCTCCTGTTGCTTCCTCTACCTCATGCTTTTCTTGAGACCCCAATGCTCCCCTCAGTACTACCTCATCATCCTTGTCAAAGGTTTGCATGGTGAGGTCGGGTAGCAGGGTCCTGCAGGGTGACCCACTATGAGGAGACACCAGAAGCTGCCCCTGTGTTGGGCAGAGCAAGCTCCAGAGGGCTCCAGGACAGACCTGCCACTGGCTAAGGCTGAGCCAGCCACTGATGCCGGGAGGGCCTCTGTGATTAGATACTAAAAAAGGGGTAAACACTGCTGTGCAACAGCAGCTGGCAGGGAGGAAGGAGAAGACGTAAAGCAACAGCCCTGCAGGCACCAAGGCTGGGGGAGGAGGTGGTGCTGGAGCAGATTCCCCTGAAGCCTGTGGTGCAGCCCATGGGGAGGAAGATTTTGACCCATAGCCCATGTAGGTGAGGAAGAGATCCCAACAGCACCCCATGTAAGAACCCCACAGCACAGCAGGTGGGAGCTGTGAAGGGAGCTGTAGCCTGGGAGGAATCCACGTTCGAGTGGGCTTCTGGCAGGGGCTATGCTCTGTGGAGAGGAGTCTATGCAGGAGCTGGCAGAACACTGGAGCAGTCTGTTCCTGGAGGACTGTACCCCATGGAAAGGGACTTTGCTGGAGCAGTTCTTAGAGAACTGCAGCCCGTGGGAAGGACCCACATTGGAAAAGTTGGTGCAGGACTGTCTCCCATGGAGAGGGGAATCTGCGAGGAGAAAGGAGCAGCAGAGACAAGTGTTATGAGCTGACAGCAATCCACATTCCCCATCTTGCGCACTGCTCAAGGGAAGGAGGTAAAAGAGTTGGGAGTGAAGCTGAGTCTGGGAAGAAGGGAGGGTAGGGGGAGGTGTTTTAAGTTTTATTCTTCTTTCTCGTTTTCCTACTCTGTTTAATTGCTTATAAAATAATTTCCCCAAGGTGAGTCTGCTTTGACTGTGACAGTAATTGGTGAGTGATCTCCCTGATCCATGGGATTTTTATGATATTTACTTCTCCTTTTCAGTCAAAAAGAGGAAGTAATGGAGTGGCTCAGTGAGCACCTGGCTAGCCAAAATTGACCCACCACAGTTCTCCAAACTCCTTCATCACCACCTCCACCTTCAACACCCATTGCCCATGACTTCTTCATGTCCCTGACTCCACTGTCAGTGAAGGGCCTACCAGCACTGCAGCATTTATTTTGTACTTTATTTACTGCACACTGAAGACATGCCAATGACTCAGGCTACTCTGTGATGTCCAGTGGTCTAGGCCTTCATCTGCCATCAAAACTCCCCTACCAGGGGTGGACAGTCTGGAATTGCCTGTGGCAGGTCTGTGGCAAGTCCACGGTGAGTCCACAACAGGTCCATGGCGGGTCTCTAATGGGCACCTGGTGGTCCCTTGGCCCAGGTGCTGTGCCCCTTGGTAGGGACTTTTCACTTTCTGCCCACATGGTCCTTCAGTGTCACCAGCACTTTTTGTGCCCGCTTCAGGACCTCCTCCTCATCCACACTGGGGAAGGCCTCACTGGGGGTCATGGGAAAGGGATGGTAACTTGGGTACTGTGTGGCCTTGCCGTCCACACCGCAGTCACACAACCACTGCACATCCAGGACAAGGCCCCTCAGCTCCGGCTCCTCTGCCTCCAGCCTTTGGGCCATACCCATCAGCCCCCTGTGGCCTGCAAAGGCTTCACCACGGCAAAGCACGGCTGCCACCAGCGCCTTCTCCAGGGCCTGGTGCACTTTGAAGAGCACCCAGTTGGGGCAGCAGTGCCGGATGTCATTGTGGGCTGCCTGCAGGTCACTTGTGGCCTGACACAGCCAACGCAAGGCCTCGGGGACAGACAGAGTCAGGACCATGAGCTCCTCACTGCTCAGCAAGGAGCCACCGCCTCCCTGTCCATGGTGCCGGGCGGTGCTCACAGGTTTGTATTGGCCCCACATCTTTGGCCCCCTGACACCATGCAGAGGCCTCAAGATTGCCAGGCTGGGATCCTTCCATGATCCCTCTTCTGCCACAGCTTCAGCCTCCTCCTGAAGCTTCTTCTCTGGCTCTGGTGCGGCCCCCACCAGTGCCACGTTGTTCTCCTCCAGAACCAAAGCAATGTCCTGTGGCTCCTGGCAGACCAGCATTTCACGCAGCACGGACAAAGCACGTGCCTCCAGCTGCCCACCCAGGATGTTATTGATCTCCTGCGCCAGCGTCTCCACCACCCTCAGCTGCTGCCAGTTCAGCACCATCTCTGCGTGCTGGATGTAGAGGAGCCGCTGGGCACCACCAGACAGGCACACGTGGATAACCTGTGACTGGGAGCTGCCCTCCACCTTTGCCCCACTGTGCACCAGCACAGTGCAGATGTCCTTGCAGCACTGCACTTTCATCTTCTCCAGTGTAAAGCCACCATCCCACTCCATTCCCATCACAGCCTTGCGGGTCTGCCACTGCAGCAGGGACTCCAGCCCCAGCCTAAACCACGGGGATACCAGCAGGGTCTGCAGACGCCTCTGCGCAGCGCACTGAGAGCCGTAGTGACACGGCTGCGGACCACCTTCCTCCAGCTGCTTCTCTGTCACCTCTGAGAGTGCCCATGGCCGCAGGTGTGGTGGCAGCCTTTGCAGCAGCCACCTGGCATTACACCCAGACACTGGCAGCGCAGCCATGAACACAAAGGTCTTCTCCAGGGCCCGAGCAGTCTCTGAGGGCACACAGTCATTGAAACACAGTCTGTGGGACAGCTCTAGGGAGCCAGCAGTGCTCAGCAAGTACAGCTCAGCCACAGTAGAGCAATCGGGGGGCTCCGATTCATCCCGCAGCAGCTGGAAGAAATGCCGTGTGGCCAGCAGGACTGTCTTCTTCTGGATGCTGGAAAGGGTCCCACTGCCATGCCTCTCCTGGTAGATTTGGGCCAGGACATGGCTGTAGTGAGTCAGTGTGGGGACCAGGACGACGCCAAGATGTTGCAGGAGATCTCCAAAGGCAGCCACACAGGGGTGAGGCGTGAGGAGGTAGGGATAAAAGTCAGCCTCGTCCGGGAGTGATGTCACCACCTGCCGTGGCCTGGCCATGTCCCATGACTTGGCCAGCACCACAGGCAGCTCAGCGAGGTGCTCTGCATCCACCTCCTTCAGACGGGTCTGCAGGAAGCTGTACATGCTATGGAGCACCTTGGTCCGTGTGCTTACCTGCAGTTCTGTTGAGCAAGCTGCCCTGCACACATGCTCCAGGTTGGCCACCACCAGGGCAGTTGGTATCTCTACAAGGACTCCCATGGCCTTCAGGGACATCTCCTCAAGTCGAAGGGATTCTGGCAGGATGGTGGCTGATGTCCACAGGAGCTCAGCCACATCTTTGCAGTAGGAAACGCTGCCTTTCAGAGCCACAGCCTTAGTGCAGTCTGCAAAAGGAGGGTGAAGGTTCATCAAGTTTGGAGGAATATCCAGTGGAGGCAGGAATTGGATTGAGGAAATTTTCCTCAGGAAACCCTTTGACTCAGGATTTTTCAACAGGTTTGCAAGTTGCTTAAGCATCTCCTGCTGTCGCTCCAGCAGTTCTGCAGCATGGCATGTAGCCTGAGTGGTTTCACGCTCTATCTCCTCAGCCAGTGCCACAAAATCCTCTGTGGAGAGGCTGGTGCGGACACCAGCCTCAAGGAAGAAATCCACAGTTTCTTTCTTGTTCAAATGTAGCTCCTTAAAGAAAGATTCAGGCACAAAGCGGTTTTGGAGACGCAGGGTGTGGAAGGAAGGCATGTCACAGTAGAAGTAGGAGGCCAGGCGCAGTGTTCTGTGGGCATCTGGTATAAAGGCCACCTTCTGAAAAGCTTCCACAATGGTCTTCATGCTCTGAGTGTCACAGATGGGTTTCACAACAAAGAACAAGCGTATAGCTTCCATGAGATTTTGCCGTGTGAGCTGGGACAGGCGGGGAAGTACCACAGCCATGAAGAGCTTTTGGTCATCTGTGAACTCCCACTTCAAACGCTCAGCCAGCTGTTTGTGGACTAGGCTTGGTGTGAGAAGCAGCATGTCTTTGTCCAAGTCATACAGGGCTTGGGCACTCAAGGGCACTTGCAGGAACTGTCTGCGGAGTAACAGCACCTTGCGGTAGGGAGCCACAGCTACATAGCCCCCCCCAAACTTCTGGAAGAGAGGCAGGCGCAGGAGCTGCTCCAGTGCATGTGAATCCAGCTTTCCCTGCTGGACAAACTTCAGCAGGGCTGACACATCCTGCTCCCCTAAATCCCCCCAGCAGAGATCAGCTCTTGTGTCTGCCAGATGGGCCACTACAGCCCTGGGATCTGTGATCTGCAGTGCCCTTGGCTTCAGGTAACAGTGGGAAATACTCCAGGGCAGCAGGGATTGCTGGAGCACAGGGATGCCCAGTTTGTGCAGCACCTTTTCCACTTCAGAGTGACACTCAAAAAGAACCCTGGAGAGGGAGGATAGTGGCAGTAGTTGCTTTGAGTCTGTCTTACTCCCCTGAATAGGCAGCACTGCCATATTCTGGAGATGATTCATGAATGACTCCATGTCCACATCTGAGGGTACCACACTGGCAAGGAAGATCCACAGTCCCTTGAGCCACTCTTTTCCCTCTGTGGTCCACTTCAACTGACCCAATGCCTCCTGGATGAGTGGTGTGGCCTGTGGGAGGTGAAGCTCCTTCACAAAGCAAGGTGGGATCCATGCAGAAATACACTTATGGGCAAAACGGTGGCTGTGCTTGGGGAAGAGGTGGGCAAAGGAGTTCTTGAAGATAGGGTAGTGGATGCTGAAAGCATTCAGAAAACCATCTGCTGTGGCCAGCAAGGGCAGGCCTTCCAGATCTGCCTTGTCCCCATCCTTGTGAGTACCTTTAGAGTGCCTGTTCCATCCTGTTAAGTATTGCAGCAGGTAGGAGCAGCTCTCTGGGGTCCTCAGGGGTGTCTCAGCCAGCTTGCAGGGCACAGGCAGAGCGAGGGCCTTGAGGAAGCACCGGAGAGAGGCTGGCTCTAAGACAACAGCATTCACCTGGGCTTCAATGAACTCCTCACGGATCTGCTGCAGGTGGGGGAATGCTGGAACCTGTTTCATGTTCAGTTGCTCCAGCACCTTCTGGACTTTTGGCTGAGGTATCTCTTTGAGGAAGTATGGCTCTGTTAGCATGTCCTCTCCACCTGGAGATGCCCAGGTTATTGTCACTGTGTCAAGTGACTTCCTGTACACAGGCACCAGGGGCAGGCGTGCATGACTGAGGTGCTTGTAGACCTTTCTCACCATGTCCTGGAAGATAGGTAACACCCTTTTCATAACAGGGAAAAACTGGAGGAAGTGGGAGTCCAGGTGCTGCTGGCAGAGATTCAGGGACCAATACTGGAGCTTTTCTGGCTCCAGGGCTTTCCACTGCCTGGTGAGAAAGTAACAGTATAGTGGAACCACCAAGCACCGGAGCAAGAAGTCATTCCAGGTTGCCTCTGTGCCGCCTTTGTCCCAGTGGAGACTGCACCTGGCTGCATCCACAGAGAAGTTGGCGTTGATGTGCACAGGCAGTCCAGTGACCAAGGGCAGTGGGAGGGTGCAGAAGGCTCTGCCCGTGACTTGGTTCAGAGGTTCCAGGCGGGCAGCCACAGCCCCATAGGGCAGACATTTAGGCAATGGAGACTCCTCAGCCCCACCCTGCACCCCAATTTGGGAGATCACCCTCCACAAACTTGTGGTCTTGGCCCTGCTATTTTTGACTTTCATGGTATAGGAGAGAGGGGTGGGGCTGTTCCCATCCACGGCTTGGCTTAATCTTGCTTGAAAATCCCGTCTCAACTTTGCATCATCCTCTGTGAGCTCCGTGGTTACCCGCAGCTTCTCCACCAACTCTTTCCCATCTGGGGGGATCTCAGAGAAGATGATGGTGTGGACATGCCTGAGGAAGAGCACCAAGTCCTCACCTTCCTTAGCCAGTGTTTCTTCCATGTTCTTGAGGTCTTGGTCTCGCACGACCATGTCTGACACCCTGGACATGGCAGCCTCAGCTGCAGTGCGGAGCGGCAGCCGGAAAAGGACACCCTGTTTCAGGTTGAAGAAGGATGGTAGGAAGGTGTCATAAATGTCTGCAAAATTCTTCTTGAAATCAGTGTTGACAGCAAACATGCTACCAGGCTTCTCAGTTGTGGCTGTGGACAGGTAGTAGAGATGAGGATCAGAGACACACAGGACACTGTCTCCGGTCAGGAAGGCTGGGCAGTCAGTAAAGTGGTAGACAGTGTTGAAGCCAAGGCCATACTTGCCTGTGACATCCTGCCGGTCTTGCTTGCCACCCACCCCCAGACGCTGAATGCCTTCAATGTCCTGCTCCTGGAAGGGGCGGTCATTGTAGATGCAGAGGGCAGGGCCCTGCAGGATGTTCCATTTCTCACTAAAAGTAGCCTTCGCTGGGTGCGTCCGGCGGTCCCACACGAAGTGCAAAAGCCCTGCACCTGCATCATCTGCATTCTGGAGCACCTCCTTCACCATATCAGGAGCAGACGCAGAGTACTCCTTCAAGATATTCTTCAGTCGCGTTGGCAAATCTTCATGGGCACCAAATGGCTGCGCCCAGAAGCTCAGGTGATCAGTGATGAGTTCACTCCTCTCCAGTGCTCGGTGGCGTGTGGTGGTCACCCCACAGTGCAGGGCTGTCGATCGGGACAGCTGTTTATGGCACAGCAGGACATCTCTGTCCAATGGCATCCATGGTGCATCATTGAAGTAGAGCTTGTCCCGTGGCTGCAAAATGCCCTCCTCATCAGGCAGAAAGAGTTGCTGGGTCTGGCAGGCATCTGGCTGGTTGCTATCTTCCATCAAGCCACAAGACACCAGCTGCAGGGCCAGATCCAGCTCCGTGGCAGGCAGTGGCTTTCCAGCATGTATCTCTGCCAGAGTGGAGAGCACTCGGGCATAATCATCCCAGGCGAATGTGTGGCGCAGCCCCACACACTTCCAGAGCTCTCTGTAGGGCTTGTACTGCTCTTGGAGCTCATGAAGGTATGGGGCAGCCTTAAATGACAGTGTCTCGGCCACAGCTGTGACTGGCACAAAACGGGAGCCCACCAAGATGAAGGGCTCCCCTGGGGCCACTGCAGAAGCCACCTCATCCCAGCTGGAGGGATGTTCCTGGAGCAGCATGTCCAGGTGCTTGTAGCAGCAGTTGGTGCTGTATTGCAGGGTCTCCAAAGGGAGAGTGTTGGAGAAACGGCGGAGTGCTCGCAGCTGCTCAAGGACCTGAGCTGAGGGTATCTGCCGGTCCAGTCCCAAGAAGGATGCTACCTCCTCAGAGAGGCTGAAGTTTTTCCCCAGCATTTTAGGAGCCAAGATAGGCTGGATGAGTCCCACTAGTGGGTCATGGAGGTGATGGTAGAGCTGGGCAGCTGGCAGCAGCACAGGGTCACCAGTGTGCAGTGCAGCAGGGAGGAAAGGCACAGTCTGGAAAGCGGCCTGCAGGGTGTCATTTATTCCCTTCTTCACTGCATCCTGAAGTAACTCAAGGATGCAGGCAGCCCTCTGGCAGCCCTGGGCATGATCCTTGGTCCACACAAGCTGCACAGTCTTTGCCCTCTCCAGCAGCTCTGGCAGAGCCACGGTGTTCTTCACCATGCCCAGCCTCTCCAGTTGGCTTAGTCTCTCCAGGGAAAGGAAGGCATTCCCAGTGGGGAAGCGCCCATCCTCAGGGTTGTATAAAGGGGCAGCACGGCCTCTGGGATGCACCAGGTGATTGATGAGCTGCAGGTGGCCATGAGGGGTGACAGGGATGCAGGGCACTGTCTGCAGCATTTTGTCCACATCCTCATGAGACATATCCAGCGCATGGAGCAACAGCAGGTTCCGGTCAACATCAGGGAGATTTTCTAAGTTGGGAAGCACAAGCTCACATAGAAAGCGGTTCCAGTCATATGTTCCAGCAAGCAGTGCCTTCCCAAGGCCCTCCTGCACCTTCCCAGGCAAGGCCACAGCCAACAGGGGACGGGGCACGGTGATGGCAAAGACTCGCTGTGCCACAGTACCCAGCTTAGGGTGTCTTTCCACAGCCTGGTGCAGGAAGCGGGCATCCTGCAGCGAGCACCAGAAGTGGCCATTGGAAAAGAGCCTTGGGCCACTCCTGGCTGCCAGAGCCTGGTAGAAACCAGTCACAGCCTCTGTAAAGGGGTAACGGGCAGTGCTAATATCTGGCCAGAAGAGATGATACTCATAGTTCTTCAACTCGCCTGCCTCGTGCATGGCACGGAGATGGTCCAGTGCCCGGAGCCAGGCCATTGGCACAGCATTGCGGAGCAGCATCCGGTTCCACTTGCCCCGCTCTGCTGTGTCCCACAGCCCCTTGCGATTTGAGAGGATGCTGAAGGCCCCATGCAGGTGGATTGGCAGCCCAGACATGACCGGCATGGGAAGGTGGCAGAAAACTTGCCCCTTCTCAGTGTCCAGACGTGGCACCCACTTGCCATCTTCAGCAGGGGCAAGGGGAAGGGCCACACCAGCCATGGGAAGTGGAGGATGGAGTCCTGCCTGTGTGTTCTGGTGAAACAGTTCCAGCAACTCCCCATCACCCTGACACACCAAAACCAGGTAGTGCCAAGTGGTCCTGGATTCCTCCTCACAAGCTGAGAGCTGCTCAATGGCTGCCCAACTTGGGGGATCCCCAGGGGCACCCAAGTCTCGGATCTCCTTTCGATGCAACGTGGCCAGAGGTATGGTATCCTCTGCAGAAGTGGCCGTATCTGGCAGCATCTCCAGGGACAGCTCCCTCACCTTCTTCAGGAAGAGCAGCAGGAGCCGGTTAGAGCCAAGGAAAGCAGTCCCAAGGGACTGGATGCGCTCTGTACCAAAGGCCTCAGAGCAAATCTGTGATGTCACAGCTTCCTCTTCAGTGCGAAAAGGCAAGCGGAAAAGGCTCCCTGGAAAGGGTCCTGGCTCAGGCAGACAGCACCCAAAGATACCGTGGTAGGGCTGGAACTGCTCAGCAAAGACACGGAGAATGCGTGGTCGGCTGGAGAAGTCCAGGCGGATGCCAGGGGAGCTGGCCCTGAGGATGTGCTTGCCCAGATGGGTGCCATTGGGATCAAAGATGAGCAGTGTCTCCCCACTCAGCACTGCCGGTACATCTGTGACACGGTACACAGAGCTGAAGCCCAGCCCAAAGCGCCCGATCTGGCCTGGCTGGCCCTCCTTTGTGGCAGCCCCAATCCGAGTGATGTTCTGGAGGTCATCCTCTGTGAACAGGGCATTGTTGTAGGCCCAGAGGGCTGGGCCATGGCAGGCAGCCATGCCTGGGTCTAGCAGCCCAGAGGTGGCCTTTCTGCGGCACCGCAGGTCCAGGAGGAAGCGGCACACAGTAGCGCTGGCATCCTCTGCGTTCTGGACCATCTCTGTGAAGAGGTCGCTCTCCTCACCGTACTCCTGGAGGATGTTGCGGAGGCGTCGGGTGATGGGCTCCGAGGGGCCACAGGCTGTGAATGGCTCTGGGCCCAGCACTTGTGTACTGAGACGTTCTGTGCCCAGGAACATGGCTGTGCTGCAAGGCACGGCCTCGTGCACCACCTCTTGAACATCCTCCTCTTCCTCCAGCTCCATGTCCAGGTACACGGCAGACGCAGCTGGACGGAGGGCAAAGCCTGAGCCCTGCGGGATCCTCACAGGAACTGGCACAGTGCCCTTGCTCTGGTGGCCCTGCCTCTCCAGCCACTCCAGGACAGCTACAACCACCTGCAACTCTGCGGCAGTGCCTGCTCTGGAGCTGCGCCTGTCTATGTCCTGCCCCAGGGAGTGCAGGGCTGACACTGCCCGCTCCTCACTCACCCCATCCGCCACCCCCCAGGCCCTGAAGAGGCAGCCATAGGGCAGGAAGTCAGGGGGCACCCGGGGCACCAGCATCCCCAGCTCCAGCTTCTCAGGATAGCCCAGCACAGCATCACGTGGCAGGACAAGTCCAGACCCAGTCCACACAACAGCATCATCCGGGGCAGTCCCAAAGGCCTTCAGGTTTTCCTGCATGTGCCAGTAGATGGGCTGGAGAGCAGGACCCACTTCATCCATGTCCCTGCGCCTCACCAGCTTTCTCAGCTGCTCCCACACTCTCTCTGGTGGTGGGGTCTGGCTCAGCCCCAGCTTCTTCTCTGCCTCTGGCACAAAGGCATCAGTCAGGGGCATGGCAAGCCCCACCAGGGATTGGTACTGCATGGATCGCAACTCCCTGGGGGGCAGGAAGGGCTGCCCAGGCTCTCCTGTGCACTTGGAGCGAGGCACCCACGGCAGGGCCTGGAGCTGCCCAAGCTCTGCAGCACTGAAGCCATCCAGTGCCTTGGGGTGGTTGCAGACTGTGATCAGTGCCTCAGCCCTGTCCAGAGCTGCCGTGCCACCCTGACTGACTTTTGCTGCAGCTGCCAGGATGTCTGAGGGCAGCAGGCACCCCTCACCATGCCGCAAACCCACGGCCCTCAAGGCACGGAGGACAGACGGATTGTGGAAGGCAGCAGGAGGAAAGCGCTCAGGTCCCAGCAGTGCCTGCAGGGTGCTGTCACAGGGGTCATAGAGGTCTTCTGGGCATGCAGGGCCGTTAGGAGTCTCCAGGAAGGCCAGTGTGCTGCAGGCCTGCCGGAGCGGGGGGCTCTGTGCAAAGACAGTGTCTCCGTGCTGCAGTACCCAGAGCAGCAGAGCCTGTGTCTCAGCCGCTCGCCCTGCATACGCACCTTGGGCCACGGCTCTGACGGCCTTCAGCATCACACAGGCTGCACTGATGAGGGGCCTCTGGAGCCTCCCGAGTAGCCGCCGGTCAACTTCATCCTGGCACCGCAACATCACCTCCGGCAGCAACACATCTTGGGGCAGCTCCAGCTCTGGCTCCAGCACCGGGGTGGCAGCGGCTGGCACCAGCTCTGTGGGCTGTGGGGTGGCCAAGCAGGGCAGTGGCAGAAAGAGGGGCAGAGCAGCCAGAGTGGCCATGTCCTGCTTTGTCAGGGATGGGATGTCTGCCAGGTAGCGCCGGAGGGTGACCACATCTGCATGAGGCAGCGAGGCCATGCGGGAGGCCAGTGCTGCAGCCTCCTGCCTCCCCAGGGCCCGCAGGGCATTGAGGGGGGATGGAGGCAGGACATAGCAGGACAGGGAACGGTGCCACATGGGCAACCTTGGTGGCACCACAGGGCAACCCAGGACCTCCAGCACAGAGGCCACAGCAAGTGGCAGGAGCTGGCCCTCCCATGCCTGGAAGATAAGACTGGACTCAGGTATCAGTGGAGCCAAACTGACAGTGGGGGCATCCAGTGAGGACAGGGCTATGAGAGGAAGCCCCTCCAGAGGGCCCAGGTCTTCTATGTGGGCCAGGAATTGCCACAGGGCTGGGAACCAGGAGGCTGGGGGCTGGGGGGGCCCTTGGGCTGGGCACCAGGTCACTGGGGTTGAAGACTGGGATGTCCAGGTGGGGGGCAGAGCCAAGCGCAGGGTCTGTACAGTCACGGCTGGATCCAGCAGAACCAGGTTGGGGAAGAGACCTGTGTACAAGAGACACAGGCTGGACTTAGAAACACGTGGGACCTGGCGGGGGAGACACAGGATGGGCAAGAAAGAACCGGCAGGGGATGGGTGGCCCCCGTATGGGATATGGGAGGATCTGGGCTCTGGAGGGATGGTGGACACCCTTAATAGGAGCACAGAGAACCCAGAAACCCCAGGTGGGTGGGGATATAAGAAAGAGATATGGGAGGTAAAAAGGTGTTAGGGGGACCAGTATTGGGGAGCACAAAGGTCTTCAGAGGAGGAACACAATGAGACCCAGGACCTCAGGGAGCACAGAGGGGATAGGGGAATGTGGGAAGAACATGGATCCCCAGAAAGACAGGGACGTACAGGGAGATACTGGGGCTGCAGAGGAATCCCAAGGTGTACAAGGCTGCCTGGGGATGTTGGGGTTTAGGGGGGGCAACCAGGGGACCTAAAGGTGGTTCAAGGACCCCCACCTCTTACCCTTCTTGGCAATGCCTCGCAGGAGGCTGTCCAAGCCTGGCTCCAGGTCTGAGGGCAGGAAGGATCCGGCCAAGCCAGGTAGGAGCTCCCTGTGGGGACAAATAGAGGTGCTGGAGGACCAGAGGGGTAATGGGGAGCAGTTTTCTGGGCACCTGCCTCAGCTCCTGCCTCACTTGGTGACACTAGGTAAGAGAAGGAGGGCAGTGAGGAGCCTAAATATCCAGGGTCAAATATCCAGGTTTGTCCATGCCTCCCCTTCCCAACTCAGAGCAAGAGCTGTGACCGTGGACAAGTGGCTGTCCTGCCCACTCTGCGAGGAATGGAGCTGCCGGGGGCCACGGGCTCACCTGGGGCAGTCGGATGTGTCCACGTAGACAACGGCTGACGCAGTTCCAAAGGCCACGAAGGTTCCATCAGCGCGGGGCAGGAGGGGGAGGCCGTGGAGCTCAGCATGGCACCCATCCCCAGCCACGTAGCGCAGCAGGGAGAGGCGGCTGGCAGCCAGGAGCTCTGCGGCCCCATGGTGCCGCAGCACTTCCCGCACGTGTCCCGCCGTGGCCTCCCGCAGGCCCTTTGGCATCCCCAAAGTCAGCGCCCTCCACACACGGGGTGGGATCTTGGCCACCGGCTCCCCGGCTGCCACCAGCAAGGCCTGGACAGCCCACCGTGTGGCCACATCGCCCACGGCCTCTGGCAGCAGCACAGCCTCGAGGGCCCGCAGCCGCCCCGCCGCCCCGTCTGCGGCCGGCAGCAGGACAGGGGCGGCCGCCAGCTCCTGGCACACACGGCTCACCAGGCTGTGGATCCGGCCGGAGCTCGGTGTGCACTCGGGGTCTGGCCACAGGCTGTAGGCATCTGCACCGGGCACAGCCACAGCCACAGTGGCCAAGTGGCTGTAGACCCGGGGCAGGAGGTCGAGCAGCAGAAGAGCATTCCAGCGGGCATCTTCCTCACCCTCCTCACCCTCCTGGGGCCAGCGCAGGTGGCGGCGATCATCGGAGAGGGCAAAGGGAGCGCTGGCATGGACAGGCAGCCCTGTGGCCATCTCGTCAGTGGCTGGCAGTGGCAGGAAGCAGCAGAGCCGCCCTTGGCAGGCCCCATGGAGGGGGTGTGCCAGGCTCAGCTCAGGGCAGCACCCCAGCCGTGTGCCCAAAGCCACAGCTGGCCCCTCAGTGGCCCTGCCCGTGGCCACCAGCCACTCGCTCCCAGCACTGACCCCATCTCCGTGCAGGGCCACCAGGCACCACGCAAGACTCAGCCCCTCATCCCCTGATGGCACTGGGACAGGGAGAGGCTGAGGGGATGCCACAAGTGTTCCCATGAGTGTCTGGACCCCGTCAGGGGCCACACGGTGCAGGGCCACATGGCGGACATGGCGGAGGAAGAGGAGGGCAAGAGGGGCCTCTGTGAGGAAGGTCTGGATGAGGTTGCAGATGCGCTCAGGACTGGAGATCCCTTCAGCGATTTCTGAGGGTTGCCGGCGAAGGGGGAAGCGGAAGAGGGTGCCCTGGGCTGAGGCACGGTGTTTTCCCACAGCTTCCAGCCCAGCCCAGAAGGGCTCAAAAAGGCCAGGAAGGTCCTGGGCTTCCGAGATGTCCCAGCGCTTGCCAGCACCAGGCAGCACCTGGCATTCAGGATCCAGCACCCCCAAGTATGGGGCGCTCAGCACACCTGGTAGGTCTGGAGACATGGGAACCATGAGGCCACAGAGATGACATGGACACCACTGCCTTCCCAGATCATCCCAACTCATCAATGCCCCAAATGCCCACTCAATGGCCTCGAGTTTATCCCCACGATGCCTCCCATGATCCAAAGCTTAATTCTAATTCACCAGTCCTCCCTCAGTTTGTCTCCCTAGCCTTATTCTCCATTGCCAGCCAGCTTTCCTCCAGCCTGCCGAGGCTTCAGGTTTCCTCACTTTGGACACAGCCCTCAGTTTTTGCACACTCCTGGTGCCCCCCAGTTCTCCCCAGCGCCTGTAGTTCAGTGCCTCCAGTAAAATCCACATCCCCAGTTTAGTCCCAGCTGAGGCTGCCAGTGCCACTCACCGGTGAGGTGGTAGACAGAGGTGAAGCCCAAGCCGAAGCGCCCCACGCTGCGGGGATCCTCCCGCTTGTGTGACACCCCTGGGCGCTGAATCCCTTTCCAGTCCCGGGGAGACATCACGGCGTCATTGTAGGCCAAGAGAGCTGGGCCTGGTGGTCAGCACCATCCATGGGTTAGGGGGAATTGGGACATGGAGCAGGAATTGTCATTCACACTCAATGTCCCCACAAGCTCCAGTCCCACAAAACCCCCCTCAGTAGCACTGAGTCCTTGCAGTACCCTCAGTGCCCCCAGCACATCCCAGAACCCCTCACCAGTTTCAGTTCCCCCAGTTCCCCCAGTCCCTCCCAGCACCAGCCAGTGCCACCCCAAGGCTTCATCCAGTTTCTCCCAGTGCCCACAGTGCCTCTCACCCTGGGTGCCCTCCAGTCCCCCTCCAGTGATGTCGAATTCCCGCTCATCAGACACAAACACGACCTCGTTAGCTCCGGCGTCATCTGCATTCTGCACCAGCTCCTGGAATTAGAGATCAGTGCGCGGTCACCTGGGCCCTCCAGGCCCTGAGAAAAGCATCAACCCTCTCTCCCAGCTGGGCACCAAGGTCCTGGGGCTGGTGCTGGACAGGGAGCAGCCCCACTGCCTGCGGTAACTCTGCCCCACTGGGCAGGAGATCCCGGACAGGTGATGGGGTCTGACCTTGAGGATCTGCCCTCCATCCGGGTACTTCTGCAGGATGCTGTGCAGGTAGTCAAGGAAGCTGGGTGCCCGCTGGCAGAAGGTCTCCCTGTAAACCAAAGAGAGGGAGAGAAGGTGTGGGGGAGGTTCTGTAACCACGACGCCCACATCCTCCCTCCTTGGATCCCACAGGATGTGCCTCTCCTTGGAAGGGTCAAGAACTCTATCTCCTTCCAGGACCCACTGAAACAACCACCTGCAAGGACAACACCTACACTCCCCACACCCCCATGTCTTCCTGGGATGCTCCAGCGCACTGGTTTTGGCTGGGATAGAGTTAATTTTCTTCCCAGAAGTGTGTCCAGAGCTATGTTCAGGATTTAGCATGAGAACAGTGTTGGTTGCGCACTGATGTTTGAGTTGGAGCCAAGTCAAGGACTTTTCAGTGTCCCATGCTCTGCCAACAAGGGGGAGCATGGACAGGAGACCCGACCCCAACCGGCCAGAGGGATATTCCAGACCACAGAACCTCTTGCCCAGTCCAGAAACTGGGAGGGGGTTGGCCAGGAGTAACCAATCACTGCTGCGGGATGGGTGGGGCATTGGTCAGTGGAGCGTGAGCAGCTATTGGGCATTGCTGGTTTCTCTTGGGTTTTACTCCATTCTCTCTCCTTCCCATTATCATTAGTAGCAGCAGTAACATCAATATATTTAGTTTTGTTTCAATTATTTAACTGTTCTTGTGTCAGTTCAGAGGTTTTACCTTTTCTTTTTGATTCTTCCCCACTGAGAACAGCAAGTGGCTTTATGGGATGAGCTGCAGGCAGGGGTTAAACTGTCCTGAGGGTCTGGGTAACCACGGAGTATAGGGAAGGGGAAGGGGAAGGGGAAGGGGAAGGGGAAAGGCAAGACCACTCTGGAAGGTTTGTCTCATGGCTTGGCTCTCGCAGGAGAAAAGCCTAAAGGTGCAATTATTGACAGTTCCCACCGGATGGCTCCCGAAGCCCAGCGGGAGCGGCAGTGCTGAGCACCGCCGGCAGCTTCGATTCAGCTCCAGCCGCCCTCTCGTACCACAGCCCCGTGTTACCAACCACAACAGAATGATAATCTTAGCCCAGAGCCAGGGAGGATGAGCATTCCCACGGGACCACACACACCAGGAAGGGTTTTATTAAATGCACATGTGAGCGCACGGGCAGGAACTCCAAGAGCAAACTGTGACCCACAGCTATTAAATAAATACGAGAGATGCTCCCAACAACTTTGTTTTAACACTCTCTCCTCAGATCTGTTGTTATCTCAACTCTGTGCCCCAGTTGAGCACCAATAAGGACTGTCGTGGTTTAACCCCAGCCAGAAACGCAGTCCCACACAGCTGCTCGCTGCTCTGGTGAGATGGGGGAGAGAATCCAGAAAAGGTAAAACCCACAAATGGAGATAAGAATAGTTAAATAACTGAAACAAGGCTAAATATATTGACATTACTGCTGCTACTACTGTTAAGAATAGTAATGGGAAGGAGAGAGAACAGAATAAAACCTAAGAGAAACCAGCAGTGCCCAGTAGTCGCTCATCACCCACTGACCAATGCTCAGCCTGTTCCCCAGTAGCAGTCAGTGGCTCCTGGCCAGCCCCCTCCCAGTTTCTGTACTGGGCGAGAGGTTCTGTGGTCCATTTGGGGGTCGGGTTTCCTGGCCATGCTCCCCTTTGCCGGCAGAGCATGGGACACTGAAAAGTCC